AGCTGCAGAAAATTTGAGGTCAGGTAATGTGAAAAGTGCTGCACCATCTGATGTTGTAATCTGGTCAAGAAACATTAATTGTTTGCTTTTTAAAATTGGAGCAAAAGTGCGATAATCTTTTTTTGAAAACTTCACTTAAGGAAAATTGTCTTCCTTTTATACAATTAGCCCCAGTATTACTATTGGAGATGGTGATGTTAAGTGACTTTAGTGCAAAAAGCAGAGCAGACCACCAGTCTTTAAATTTGAAGGAATCATTGTAAGACCAGAATGTTAGGGGTGATTTAGGGAGCCATTCATTATTTTGAAGTAATCTAGAATGGATTAGAGATGTAGTGCCTAATAACCCTTTGTCATTAATAGATTTAATGAAATTGGAAATTTTTGTTTGAATCTGTGCTATGTATAAGTGTGTGGCGTTGTTAATAAATAAATAATATATTTTATGAATAAAATAAAAGTAAATAAATAGAATTTTATACAATACTTTAATAAATTTTACTAATAATAATTAAGATAATTATTATATCTTTAATTATTTCATTTTATTTATATTAAATAAATATATATTATAATCTTTTTATCTTATTATATTATATTATTTATATTTTATTTATATTATTAAATAAATATATATTATAATCTTTTTACCTAATTATATTATATTATTTATTAAATTACAAGTATAAATACGAAATATAAATGCTGGATCAGTATCAAAATAAAGTAAAGTTAATTATTAATAATTCTTAAAAAAAATAAAATACCATGATAAATAATTAGTTTTGATAAATTACAAAATAAAAATTGATAAAAAGATTTATATTATTGTATTTATGTAAAATTTAGTATTAAAATATACAAATTAATGAAGAGTTTAAGATTATCAATTAATTAATAGTATATAAGATTAAATGTCATTTTATCTAAATTATTAGTAGTAATAACTAATTAGTATATTTAAATAAAAAAAAATGATAATAGTTTTATTATATTATAAAATAAAAATTATTCAAAATAAATTATTTTTATTTGACTAAATAAAATGATTTGTATATAATATAATATAGTATAGAATGTAATACTTATTTTGTCATCTTTAATTAGAATATTAATTTTCTACTTCTTTTAAAATATTTAAAATATTAGTCATAAGATAATATAAAATCTAAATCTTATTCGACGTGAAGAAATTACAAAGCGTTATATTTACATTTTATAATGTAAAATCAAAGATTCAATAAATTTATTACGATAATGATCTTGTATATATAAAGATTAATATACAAATACTGTAGTGTAATGGTACTAAACAAGGAGGCGGAGAATTTAAAAGGCAACCTTGGTACTAACTTTTGTCGAATGATAAATGGCTTTTTGATCACCATTGTGATTTATAATACAGTTATATTAACGTTAATAACAAAAAATTTACACAAAAGGGGATCCCGTTTCCTGTGACTGATTCTCTAACCCTAAACCTAACAACCCTAACCCTAACGTTTGTAACAAGGCTTACCCTAAACTCGGGTTAGGTACTTGTCACAATGTAGTTTCTAACCTAATCATGATCATCACTCGGTTAATTCAATTTGATGTCTAATCAAGTTGGACTTAGAAAATCAGATATGATCCCATGAATTTCCGCATCTCAAATTTTTACTTTTCCAAAAAAAAAAAAAAAGAAAATCAATAGATGCCAAATTTTTAATAGAAAACGCGAAAGTTCAGGTTATATCAAGGTTACTTTAATAAAGTTTTATTAAAAAAAAGGGAGGGAAGAAAAAATCGGATTTTTGTGTAAATGTTCTATTTTTTTTCCTCTCTGCTCATAAAGTAAAATGTCCATTTTAAAACAAAAAAAAAACTTAATGTGTAAATCTTACAAAAATAAAGAGTATTTCCGTCATAAAAAAAAAAAATAAAATCTTAAAATCTAAATAGTCTAAAACTTTCTACAATTTTTTTTAACTTACATTTCTTAAAAAATCTATATATAAAACAAAAAAGGTACCGAAAAAAAAAAAAAAAAATCATTTTTTGATTTATTTTTTTTTTTTTTCCTTGACATCCTATCGTCCTTACCTTTCATTCTTCATTATAAAAATTGCTCTCCTTAAAAACTTAAACGTTATTATTACTATGATTGCTATTATTAAATTCATTTGAATCATCATCTGTTTTACCAATTTTAGAATATTTTTGAATCGCATTTCGGGTGAATAGGCCCGACATAGACATGGTAATCGATTTATAATTATTACCAAATTCCAATTTAAAAATCATATTAGGAAATACTTTTTCTAAATATTTTTTAATATCTTCATAAAAATGATTAACAATACAATAACCATTTAAACTAAATTCAATCAATTTAGCGCCATTACCACCGTAATTATTACGTCTATTACATCCGGGACAATTTAGTGCACCTGAAGCCGAACAGCTTGAACATAATTGTGGTTTTATCAAAATGCATTCCAAAAGGGAACCATCGCGAAAGAAAGTGATCGAAATACGATCAATCAATTTTGCGATGGCGGTACACAACAAGTCTTCGATAGAATAAGCAAATTCATCTAACAAAGCACCACCAGCTTCTTGCGCTATTGGCAAGGGAGAAGTAAATGGGATGGCGAAATAAGAAAATTCTTGTTCTAATTCAGGTAAAGAAACATAAGGAGGGAATATTGGAGGAGTCGACTTGGAATTAGAACGGGAACAACAATGACGAAGTAACACGTGATTTTGATTATTTGAATTGGTAGGTTTATTATTATTAGGTGTCGTGGGGGATGTCGGAGGAGTTGAAATGTTGTTGTTATTAGTAAAGGCACTATTTATTATAACTCCTTTTGAAGAGATTCCGTTATTGGATCCATTAATACCATTAGAGGTAGACGGCAAAATTCCGTTCGTTGTCAAAGATAAAGCTGCCATTGCAGCTCCAGTAGGCACGGTAGCATTGTTTAAATCGGTATGCGTACTACTACTAGTATTGTTGTTGTTATTAGAACCTGAACTAGTAGAAGAAACAGTCGTTGTGGAAGAATTCGAACTTTTTAACGAAGCAGTATTCCCAATAGGTAATTCAAAAGAAGGACGCCAAACGATGTTGCCGGTACGATAATATTCCATGATATAATGAAAAATGTATCCGTTTCGATCAATAAAATATTCATTACCATTCGTTGGATGTAACATTGCTCGATTACGTGGATGAAACATTGTACCCAAGAGGGTCTTTGGATAGGCCGTTAATGTAGAACGATAAGTTTCATACTGAAAAGTCCGAGAGAGAAAAGATTCACCGAGGAGAATGCAAAGGAGAGAGGGTTTAACAGGTTGCCGTCGAAGGGAGGTAAGGTTAGGTTAAAGAAAGGAGGTAAACCCCCAAAGAATTTTACCTTACCTTAATACCACCCACGTTAAGAACGATTCGCTCATCTATGTATTGGTCAAGCTCGACAATCGAGCTGTCAACGGATTCATTCTTTACACCTTCCTTTGTTGATTCATGCACCGTTTTTTTATTCTTTTCTCCCATCACTATAGATTACAAGTACTTATTTTTTTTTTTTGGTTTTTTTATGTGAGTTATATATGTACGTATATATAAAAAGGAAATAAGAAAAAAAATCTACAAAAACAAAAAAAAAATAAGTACAAAAATAATAAAAATAATAATAAATAAATAAAAACAAAGAAAAAAAAAAACAAGAAAACAAAAATAAATCTACAAAATATATTCCCCAAAAATATCAACCTATGATATAAAAATAGCTCTAATATAATAAAATTTGTCTATAATAATAATAATAATAATGTGTATAATAGATAATATATATATAAAAAATATAAATAAAAAAATAAAATGAGATAAAAATATTTCAAATATTTCTAAAGAGAAGGAAAATCGTAAGAAAAAAAAAAGGACGCTTTAAATATTATTTTTTTTATTTTCTTTGAAAAAAAAAAAAGGAAAAAAAAAAAATTTTTTTTTTTTCGCTATATCAAATTAATAATAATTGTTTTATTAATTAATTAGTTTCCTAATTTAATTAATCTATGTACCAATAGTTTAGTTTGTCAGAGGAAAAAATAAATAAATAAAACATGTTAAAACTTGTTTAATTAATGTTTGTGTAAATCACATTTCCGTTTTAATGTGACACTTTATTAACCTTAATGTAGTTTAGAAAACATATATTCGGTAACCAAATAAGAGCTATCGGAACAACGGACTTACGTAAAAATGCAATAGTAAAAAAAGGCGCTTATGTTAGTTCTGGTAGAACTGATTTCGTTAATGACTTGCGATTTACAAGTTCAAAAGCTCATAAACAAAGCATCAACCGATTTCATTTTGCATCGGGTTTAATTGGTTCGTTCCAGATGGTTTGTTGGGCGGCTATAAACAAAACAAGATGTTCCTTTGATAAATACTTGTTTAACTTCAAAGGTTAAGGAACCAGGATTAAAATCAACAGGTGAATCATCGTTTTACAAGATCGATAAATAGAATGAAAAGATTTGTGTTTCATTTTCACTCTTTCTTCATTAAGTAATTCATTCACCCTTTAAAATGTGAAGGAGGATTACCCGAGTATACCATTTCAATACATAGATTTTCTTCATTTTTATTTTTTTGATGATTTTCAATATTTACCAATATTACCAAAAACCTGGATTTTTAATCTAAAAGATCTAATTGGTTCCTCCACCTAAACATATCAATGATCGGAAATCACAAAACCACTTTTTTTTTAAAAAAAAGATTAGGTTTATTCCATTATTTATACATTAAAAAGTTATCTTGAATCATGGGACATCGCAAATGTTTAATCATGTGGATCATATGTTGCATGAAAACTCTTATCTTGAGAAAAAAACGAAATCTAGAATTTATGATGACCTGATAAACAAAAAAATATATATCGTGTTACGGGATTAACCAAATATTTTTTTCATATCGGAACTCAACATCCGAATATATTAGATTGAAAAAAAAAAAAAAAAATTAGGTTCGAAACATCTCGGTAAAAAAGACCGATTGTAAGAAAAACCGGTTCTTTTATTATCCTTTCATTAAAATTCTTCAACATCATCTGAAAATTCAAAAAAAAAGAATAAAAAAAGGTCTTTTCTTTCCTGTAAATTTATGTATAATGCATGACAAATGTTAAAATTCAGGTATTTGTTTTTTGTGTTATTTAAACATTCGATGAATGATAACCACGTTAGATTACGTATTAAACCTTAAATTCCAACTACATAATATTTTCGAAATTCAAGTTTCACAGCAAGACCCTGTTGCACGGACACCGCATTTATGCATGTGATTTATTTTAGACATTAAAATTAATATAATGTGCACATGGATGGACATGCTTATCGAATAGAACGATTCATCTTTTTTTTTTTTTTTGACGTTCAGATTTACACATCCCATCCAAGGAATTTCGGATTGCCAGCCAAATCTTTTTTTTTTAAAAAGAAAAAAAAAAAATTTTCAGATCCGAAATTATTTTCATCGAGAAAATTTGAATAATAAAACCAATCAAAATTTAGTAAATTTTTAATTATTCCAATCACGTTATTTTTTTTTAAGATTTCTTGGCCAAAAAGAAAGACTTAACAATTACATAATTAGAAAAATTTTAAATTTTAAAATGTTCCGAATGAATGGAAGTTGAACAATGAACTTCTATTTCCAGTTTCCATCATCATATACTTCAACTTATTAGTCCACTTAATGTACAAAATTTTTTTAACAAAAGAACAATGATTCCCTCAATCTTTCCCGATATTAAATTAAATCAGACACATCAACTTCTCTCTACCAATTATCCCACACCTTGAAGGAAAAAAAAAAGAAAATTCGAAATCAACTTTGGATTCTTGAGAATCTAAAAAGAATTTCAACGTATTAGGTTTTTAAAAAATTATAAAAATTTTTAAAATACTTTTTCTCATGAATAAACTTACGACTTGTTACCCATAAAGAACAATAATAAAGATTTAAATAAAAGTTTTTTTTTGGGGGGGGTGAACCTTTGGTCATTTTAAAACAAATAATTTAATTTATTTAATATGTATGATGAAAATAAATTTGTTTTTTAATCCTTTTATTTTTTTTTTATTGTTTTTTTTTTAGAAAAAATAAAGTGAAAAAATTAGTAATGTTTATAACTTAAAAATCATCATTCTCCAACATTTTATATATAATCTTACCAAAGAGAAGAAAAAAAAATTCACGATATTAGTTAAAATCTACCAAACACGTTCTGAATGTTCAGCATTAACACTAAAGATAGTATCTTTTTGACTCTTGTGAGGCAGGAAGGGCCCGCACAATCGTCGCAAGGATGGCGGGAACAAGAACCACCAAGATGAAGCTTGAGAATTACTGTTTTTGGGTGGTGAAGAAAAACTGTCTAAATTTGTGATTTCATGGAATTTATAATTTTTTTTTTTCTGTCGTTTTTTTATGGAACCTTTTTTTTCATTCTCATTTTTCTAAGCCTGCGCCTCATTATTTTCATTAGAAGCCTCAATAACCCAGTAAATGATTTAATTTGAACTTTTTTTTTTATATTACCCTTATCAAAAGAGCTGGCTTGTAAGTTCCAAATTGGGACGTTGATTTGTTTGATTCTATTTGGCTGAGACTTGGTGATACGATAACAAGAAAAACAAACGTCTTGATTTGGTCCCGATCAACTTTATTATTTGGGCTTACCTTGACTTGAAAGAAAGAAATATAAAATGGAATAAATAAATTTAGATTGAGGCTTTGAAAGATTTTTGAAGGCTGTGGAAAGAAAAACCCAACAGATCATTCCACGTTTATTTTTTTTATGAGGATTTTTTTTTTTTTAGATTTATTGGCTGAGATATAATATAATCAAGATTCATGCTATTTATGGCTTAGTCAATGGCTGAGACGATTCGTTAAAAGGAAACCGAATAATTATTTTTTTTCTTTTTAGAAGAATTCAAGGTTGTTCTTAAAGGCTTATGAAAAAAAAAAAAATTTATTTTATTTTTTTTTTTTTTTCTGAATTAAATAAAAACCCTTGGCTGGTAAATTGTCGTCGAAACATGGCTAGGATGGGGCGTGACAAGGCTGGTGTAATATGGCTGAGATCTTTTTTTTTTTTAATGAAAATAAGGAAATCAAATTTTTTTTTTTTCGAATTTCCAAAAAAATTTTTTTTTTTTTTTTTTTTTTTGAGGCTTGGTATGATCGTTCTTACATATAATAATCAAAAGGGAAAAATAAATAAATAAATAAATAAACAATAAATGAAACGTGATTGCAAATCTATCACAAAAATTGCAAGGGGGGTTTCAGGGCTTGGAAGTCGTGGCGGAGTCGAGAGAAAAAAAAAAAAAAAAGCGAGAAAAAGGATCTAAATTTCACCAAAAAAAAAAAAAAAAGGTCTGTTCCGTTTAATGTAACCGACGTTGGTAAACTTCTGAAAGTTGTCAACAAATAAATCAAGTTCGGTTCATATCGGACCTTCACTCCTCATAATGCAATCCGTTAGACGGCTATTTACTTTAACACTCAAAGCCGCTTATGTAAAAGAAAAAGGCTTAGTCGGTCAGGTTGTAATTGGACATCGCTGTTATGTCATTTCCGAAGCAAAAACCTCAAAAAGCGATTCAGGAGGTGAATAACTGAAAAATTAATTAAGCGAAACGAGGCTTAGTAACAATGAAATTGATATTCATCGTCTCACGACGTTCTAAACGAGTTTCATACAAATCAATTTTTTTTAAAAAATATGCCCGTGAAGAATTCGCTCAGCCCGGTATGACAAGCCATCAAATGATGCGCGTCAAACCAATTCAAAGCCAATCGAATATTTAAAATCTCCCATGAACAAAAAAGAATGCGCGTTTTCTACATTCATTTCTTTTTTTTCGTGGTTAAGGTTTGGTGGCTTTAAAGTTTTTTCTTTCCTCAATTGCGTGATCGACAATCTTTAAGTGAGGCGCTGTTATGAATGAATGTCTTAAAATGGTTTATTCAATACGTTTTAAGGTATTTCTTATTTCAGAGATCACGCTTGAATTTACAATCTTTATATGGAAAAAAATAAAAAATCTCACGCAAAATCGGTGCAATGATTAGATCCAATAATTAAAAGTGTCTAAATAAGCAAATGCATCTTATGCTTGATCAAAGAAAAGTAAAGAAAAAAAAATAAAATTCGGGAAACTTATTCCTCAAACGGTTTTGCATGTAGAGATTCACTTGTGAATTTATCAAACATCAAAACTATTTTAAGGGATAAACTAATAATTATTTATCCGAAGTCTTCCCGTTTCTACGGAAAAAAATTTGCGAATTTCTGCGCCTCAGATGCAGTATATATATTATATTTATTTATTATTATTATGATTATTATGATTATTGAGCTTTCATTTTCTTTTTTTCATAAGCATAGCCAACTTTTTTTTACAAACGATCAAAAAAAATAAATTTTTGATCAACATAATTAATAAATCGAAGCCTGAGCCGTCCCTTTCATTCCAGCAAGATTATATAATTTTCAACTGGAAATGGTAATATTTTTGAAATGAATGGGTTCCGGTAATTGTCAAAGCTCATGTTAGGATTATCAATTATCAATTTTTTAAATGCTTCGGTCCAATTAATGGTTTGAAAAAATTGAATTTTTTAAGATAAATTACTTTCTCGTTGGGTGCTGTAAAAATTTCATAATTACAATTATTTATTTTGATTTATTTATGATAACTTCAAATTCAACCTCACCTCAATTGAACCAAATCTCGAATTCAAATCGAGTCTAGCATTAATTGTATTTATTCTGAAAAATATTCACATCTGAAGTTTATTCATATTTACGAAAGAAATTTCTCTGGAAAAAGTTCCAGCCTTTGATCGATAGAAAAATGTTTGATTTGATTTATATAAACAGTTTTTACTGATGGTTTTAAAGATAAAAAGCAATTATTTTGATTTTCACGGAGAATTTTTATTTTGGAAAACGTCCAGAATTTTCGGCACATTTTTGTAATTGATCGCGGCACTTTGCTAATTCCCAAGTAAATTTGGGACAAATCAAAACAAAATCCAAAAAAAAAAGGAATCCCCGGAAATAGTGAAAATGTACGGCGGTACATACCAGAAAAAAACTCGATTCCATTATTCCCTTTGGGAAAAGTATGAAAAGTAATTTTGTTCAATCAAATCTTTATCATTTTCTTAAACATTTTTTAGAATGTGCTTCTCCTCAAGGTGGATTTCATAATTTAAATTATCATTCTATTCCGGCATTACCTGTTCGAAATTTTTCTGAAATCAATAAATTCATTTATGAAAAATTGTTCTTTGTAGGATGCACGTGTTGTATCACATGACATAATATAAAATCACGCGTAAATTCCAATCTGATTCGCGTACTTATTAACATATTTAGGAAATTGATTCAACAACTTGTTTCCTCTTCAAAAAAAGGTTCTCTGTTTGTCATGACCGAAGGTCATTGGACTTCCGTAACGAACTCTCGACATGGAAATTCTCATAATAATTCATCACTTGGGACTCGAGGAGGAAGAACAAGGCTAGCATATAAAACAAACGTTCATAATGGAAATTCGACTCACCCTTCCAATAAAGTTACTAATAAAAGTTCTCGATATAAAAATAACGCAAATTATAACGCATATAATTTTCCACCAAATGTTGATTATGAACAAGAACTTGATTTATCACATGACGAAAATGAAAATTATTCTTCCGATGATTCTTTGGGACAAGGAATTTTATCATTAAAACCTTTTTATATTGAACTGTCAATCAAATGTCCTTTTGAAAATTGTCGGAATGAATCGTTGTTCGATAGTACAAATCTCATCGATCATTTAAAAGAATTACATAAATTACGTTTCGTTAATTTACATCATGTTTATTTAATTCTTGAAAGTTACCTGAACATTTGGGCAAAAAGAATTAAAGATGATGACGTTGTTCAACAATTAGAAACCGAAATTGATAATGAGGGTATACCATGTTGTATATATATATAATTTTTCCAAAATTTTTTTTTCCTCTTAAAGTTTTTTTTTTCACCCTTTTATTAGGCAATAAAGTGTACGTAATCGACCCAGATCATTTACCGGAGGATAAGACTCTACGAGAGAAACTTCATCTTGATAAATTGGTATTTATTTAATTCAATCACTTTTTTTAATTGGGGATCTTAATTAATTTAAATTTACATTTGCATTTATAGAATGAAGTTTTACAAATTCAAGCATATGAACGAAATAATGATGCTAAATCAGGACGAAAATGCTTATTTTGTAAAAATATTTGTGAAAACAGGTAAATTCTTGTTTCTTTTTTGATGTACTCTTTTTGATTTGTAAGTGGTTTATCTAATCCATGTTTTGATCATTAGGGCGATATTGTTTCGTCATATGTTTACGGAACATAACTTCAATATAGGATTGCCAGATAACCTTGTAAATGTCAACAAATTTTTAACAATTTTAGAAGATAAATTAAACGGGTACGATGATGTTTCATCTTTTATTACTTCATTAAAAAGAATATTTCATAATAATTAACAAGCTTTTTTTTTTATATTCATGAAAGTCTTCAATGTTTATACTGTGAAAAAATCTTTACTACACCAGCGGTTTTACGTAAGCATATGCGTAAAAAGAAACATTTTAAAATTAATGCGAGAAATAAGATATATGACAAATTTTATGTTATAAATTATTTGGAACCTGGAAAGAATTGGGAGACATTTGAAAATGAACGTTATGAATCTGACGAGGAACCTTACAGAGACGAGTAAGTTGATTATTTAAACTGTATCTTTAATTCTTTTTGTTAATCTTCATATAACATAAATAACTCATTATTTATAAAGTCCGTGGGATGATTGGAATGATGAAGAATATCAACAAACCAAATGTCTTTATTGTACAAATGTTTCATCAACCACAAAAGAATGTTTAAACCATATGATTTCGATACACAAGTTTGATTTATGGGAAATTAAAAATAACATGGGTATACCAATTTTAAAAGATATCTAATTGATATTGATTTGTCCTTTTAATTTATTTTAATTTATTTTTCTTTTTAGGACTAGATTTCTATCAAACGATAATTTTAATTAATTACCTTCGTTATAAAGTTAAAAATCATACTTGTATGGCTTGTTCAACAACGTATGAAAATTCAAATGATTTGTTAGACCATATGAATGATGAAAATTGTTTTACCAAAGTTCCATCGTTGAACAATGATTTCTGGAAAGATCCAAAGTAATCATCTCATTATTATTGATTTCTTAATACTCCAAAAATAATTTCTGATTTTTTTTTTTAGATATCTTTTACCAGTTTTACAAGATGATCTATTGTTAGTTGGATTTGAAGATGGCGATGATGAGGATAAAGATGATGATTTACCATTACATATACCTGATAATGCTATTGTTGTACCTGAAGAACCTCCCGAATTGTTAGAAGAACAATTTCAACATATATTGAAGATTAAATAAAGGATTTAATATTAATATAGCAATCATGTGGATTTTTGGTTGAAAGTTATTGATTATTTGTTCCTAATTCTAGTAAAAATAATGTTGGCAATAAATGCAACTTTTGTAAAGGGATTAAGTAGGAATAAATTTTACTTAAACTAATAATAAACTTAAATTATACTACTTCTAAGTTTTGAAGGTATCATAATAACATTATAATTTCTTTAAGATTTTTTATTTCATGATACTCATACAAAATCTAGTAGCATACTTATCTAAAAGTTTTATATCAAATTAATCATGAATCTATTATAGATTCATCCTGACTTGACTTTTTTGATTGTTTCAGCTCCTTTACTATGATCTTTGCATCTTCTTTTGACTAAGAAAAGTGTTTAAAAACATGATTATACAACATGTTATTTGATAAATGAATATTTAAAAACAAGGACTAAAGGCATACCGATCCTCCAAATCCAGATAAAATATCAGCATGCTTCATGCATTCTTCTGTTTCGCCTTTCTCCTTATGATAAGAAGCTAGATATTTATGTCCGTCTTTTCTTTCGTCCGCATCCTCATGTAACTACAAATTGTATAGCCCGGTAAGGCATCATCTCAATAAATCTTTCTCACATAAAGAACTTACATCATCTCGATCTAATAAACGAAGCCAAATGGCAGCGGCCTTTTCGGGATCGTAATCCTCATATAGTTTAGCCAATTTTGTCATAGCCTGAATGGTATTATTATCATCGATATCTTTTGATTCAAGCGCTCTACTAAATCCTTTAATGGCTTCCACATATAAACATTGTTGTTCATAAAGCGCCGCCAATCTTAACCACATTCTAGCATCATACGGTCTATTACGAAAACAAAACTTAATTTAATATCAAAAAAATTATTAAAACGAACATAGTAAATCTTACATCGTACCTTAATGCCGATGAACGCTGATAATAATAAATTGCATAGAATGACATATTCAATAACTCATATATTTGTCCAAGTCCACACCACGCTCTATAATCTTTTGGATTTACTTCTAATAAATGAAATATAAAAAGATGGTTTGATTTATTAAAAAAATTGAGAGAGATATTTAAGGATAAAAAAGGAATTTATGAATTTCAAATTACCTACTGCTCTTTTATATGAAATTATGGCAGCGTGAGTATTTTTGATTTCCACATATTCATGTCCCATTAACGTCCACGCTGATAAGCAGGTTTGGTCGATCTGTAAAGCCCTTCTGAAATATGAAATTGCCTTCTCTCGTTCTCCTTTGGAACTATAATAATTCCCTAAAAAAAAAAAAAAAAAGAAAAAAAGAAATCAAATTTACATTTATCAAAAAACAACAAAAATTTCTAATTCACAACACTATGATTTACCTAAAGCACACATAGTTTCGGGGCGAAATTTATCCGAAAACACGCACATATGAGCTAAAATACTTAATTTTGCACTTTTCTCATTGACTACATACAAAACATTCGAATATATATCCATATCATCTATTCTATATGGATCAGATTTAAGTAATCTATCAAATGCTATTTCAGAACAATCATAATCTAAAACGTATTAAGGGTGATTACGTTAGAAAAAAAAGGCAAACTCGTAAACAAGATCTTTAAAAAGTGTTACAATATAAATACCCCGATTATTATAATACATTGTGGCTTGTTTTGTTTGTAAGAATCTATTATTTACATATTCCGGTGGAAATTCCGCAACGATATCAGTAAATGCTTGTGGAAGATCTTGTAATTCGACCGACATGTGAAGTTTGAAAAACAATGACATAAAAGTATTTGGTAATCGGTTTAGTATATCTCTTAACTATAAGGATTAGAAGAAGGAAATCACATTAAAGAATGTATACAACATAAAATTTATAACTTAATTTCAAAAGGAGAAACCATCATACCATATCTTTATTGTTGATGCATTCACCTAACTCAACCCAAGCACTCCAATTATAATAATAATTCTGTACTGATTCCAGAAATAAATCCTTAAGATTCTTGTCTTGGGGATATAATTGTTTGCGCATAACTGCATATCTTGAATAAAGATAATTAATTAAGATAAAGAAATTATAAATTCATGTACTTATAAAAGCGAAATTCAATCTCACATGTAAAGCAGAAAACCATCATTCATTTCACGAGAATCACGCCAAGATTCCATTTCTTCCATTAGTTTAGGTATCTCCTTGTTAAAAGTCTTTAAATCATTCATTGGTCCCATAATATCATGACTTTCTTCATCCTTTCGTTTTTCTCCAGCCTAAAATAAATAAATAAATAATTTATCGGGACTCGTTAATAACCGATTTCAAAACCAACCCATTGACTTACCAAATATTTTGAATATATTCTTAAAAATCTACATTTTGGAGAATTACATGATTCAAGAAAGTAGGCAGCTCTATCGAATTCCTTGACATCAAAATAACTTTTGCTCAAAAGATATTTATCATATTCGGCTGGATCAAGATTCGTTAAATCTTTATCAAGGGTGGATGATAAAGTATAAATATTCTCTTGTATACTAGAATCTAATGATATATCCATTTCTGAAGTATCAACAGGTTGATCAGGTAATCCTTCTAATGTTTCAGCTATCCTGAAATTGAATAATTAAGTAAAAAAAAAAAAAAAAGTATAATAAAAACGAAAGGAAATGAAATTATTTAAAAGTACCATTTAGTAGAAAAATAAAGACCTCGCTCAGAACATTGTACAGCGGCTTCACGTAAAACTTTTTTCATTTCATTTACGGGAAAAAATTCATAGCAAGAAGGTTTTAAACCAGTTTTAAGGCTCATTTTTGATAGGGGATAACTTAATTCAGTATGAAGAATAGGAAGTGTAAGCGTGTAGGAAAAAAACGTCGAAATTTTTATAACATTTCACGTGACACAAATCACATCATATTAATTTTTAATTTTAATTTTTGTATTCACTGTACATCATTATATGAGCGATTAAACACGTTTAATAATAATTCGTTTCGTTATCTTTACAAGTTCTTTCATACAAAACCTTACCAAAAGAGCATTATAAGAAAGAGTGAAATATTACCTGCCGTCCCAAGGTACAAAATTTACTTCTACTGGCTTCGACACCACAATTATTTTTTTTCATATCAATAAGAAGTGGCAAGTCAAATTCTTCAAATTCAAATTCCATGTGTAGCAAATACAAAAATCCGAACATTTTTTAAGAAATAATTAATATACACACGCAAAATACCAGATCATTTTTTATAAAGTAATCCACTTGATAAAATATCTCAAATTTGAATTGTAAGTTAATTAAATACACTAAATGAAATGAAATATTACGCGTTTCTAAACCCATTCGAGTTGACCTGTTGCGATTAGTCCAGTGAATGACATTCGTGAAAATGGACCAATTTAGGAACCTGACTAAAGACAAAATTCTTGAAATTGGTCATGTAATTTTTACGTCCTATAACGATAATATTAAGCAAAATCTATGCTAGGAGTTTTACCGTAGAAACACTTATTTTTCTCGACACTCCTTACAACCCGTCACTTTTGATTCGACGCACTCCATAAGTTTCCGTTACCAGGTAAGCTGGATAGCTTCTGCTTAAGGTCTACTGGAGAGGAATCGTTAAGTATCTTCCGAAGTAAAAAATTCATGTTGGTTATCGATAGCAGTCGGTATTTTGTTGTTCTGCATGCTAAGCCGACGTGAAGACCGCTAACTTTGATAAAAAAAGTACAAGCCCACTACGTTTTTCTTCATGTTGACGTCATTTTTTGAAGTATGAAATAATTAAATATCCTCTTAAATAAGGAACAACCATTCAAAGTGACCGGGAACCTGGCTATAAGAATGAATGAATTCATATTACTGGTGTTTTTATGACTATTTTATGGAATAATGGAATCGGAAAGAAGACATGAAGCAATAAATCTTCTTCTGTCGGCACGACTTTAGAGTTGAAGATAATCTCGTAATCTATAATTGGTTGACATTCGTGAATGTACACTTCATGAATGTGCGAGCAACCAAACATTCTTGTTTTGGTTATGAATATATGCTTAGAAATCGTCCAGCCTTTTTCCACTGAATTAAAGTCATAATTTTCTCGACCTCCTTCTTAAACTTAAACGTTAAAAATGGACAAAAGTTTTGTTTTGAACAAATTTTCAATTTTGTATAAATTTCGTAATTATAAAATTGTTGCGCAGAAACCGAAATTATTTAAGAGGTGTTTTTATTTAACCATATAAGGAGATCGATCAACATTTTTTTTTTAGGAAATAATGATTTAATACCTTTTTAGGAAAATAATTGGGAAAAACGCTTATACTGCACCTTATTCGAAAAAAGCAAACATACCAGCACAAGAACAAAGAAAAAAACTTCTATTGAGCGCACCTGCAATTATAACAACGCCCAAAAAGAAATGTATTAGTTCATTGGATAATGCAATTCATAAACCGAAAGGTGGTGATAAAAAGATTTATTCCGAAAGACCAAACTTTTTTAATGTAATATCACATATCAGTTCATTGGAGAATGTCAATTATACACTGAAAAGAGGATATTTGAAGATAGTTTTCGTAAAGTCAGATTTTTCAAAAGTTATATCACGTGTTAGATCATCAATCAAGTATCAAAAGATGGATATAAGAAATTGATTTCCTTCCAATTGTCATCTGTTTTTTCTTGTTCAATTCAAACACTAATTAATGTACTATAAGGTGGTAATGTTAAATTGTTCACCAGTAAACTGAATTTTAAAAAAAATACATTCGCATGTAGGTTCTCTTGGTAATATTGATCATATTCTAAAAGGTGGTAATAAAATTATATTTAATGATAATTTAAGCTTTACAAATGTAAATATCTCGTGTCAGTTCTTTGAATATTATTCAACATAGTGGTGATGTTAAAATATTTGATAAAAAATTAAAATTTAAAGAATTAGCTACTCCAAAAATAATTATTCATTCTTCTATCACTTCTAGCATTGATTCTTCAGAAATCGTTGATGATAATTGATCAAGTTTTGTTAATAGCATCATATCTTCTCTCACTTTGGATGATGTTCTTGAAGATGATAATAATAGTCCTCCTTCACATGAGGAATATCAGACATTATATAATACTCCTCATATACCTATTATTGAAGTGATGTCTCCTATTATGAAACATTTCAAAGAAGAAAAAATACGTGAAGATTTATCTCATATTATCAAAACTGGATTTTATGATTCATTTCAGGAAGCAAACAAACATACTGAATTTTCTTCTCAAAATAATTTCATTGATAATGATCAATACTTTTCTAAAAAAAAAACACATTATCAACATGAAATCATTTTTAATAAATTTAATAATAAAGAAGATTTTCAAAAAAATCCTGCTTCAATAAGAGAATCTATTATATTTTTTATTGAGAATCCTTTAAATGATTCTGATTTATATTTTGAAGTTAATGTTCAAAGAAAATTATTTTTTATTATCTAATATTAATAGAAATTCTATTATTAATTCCATTTCATCAAAAGAAATGGTTCATACAGTTGAAATTCCTTCTAAAAATGAAAATAATTTTATTAACTTTCACTTAACAACATATTTATGATTATTATATGTACATATTTTTAACAAAAAATTATAGAATTATCTATCAATCTATCAATATATTATAATAATAAATAAACAAGAATAACTTTCATGTTTCCAATAATTATTCTTTCTATAATTTTCCCAATACCTTTGAGAAAAATTTATAATCATTGTGCGAAACTAAATTTTTTACAAGAGTGTTATAATAAACGTGTCTTATGATCTAGACACCATTTGTAACTTTAAAAATCTTCATCTCTATCATTGAGATGCAGCAAATATTGATCAGGATTTTATAAAAAAAACCTTTATATTATTATTAAAGGGCTAAGATACAATTTATTCGACTTTAATAGCTGATCAAAAATTGTTTAAAGCAAAAATTTTGTCTTTTTTTTATATAAATTTTTTATTTTTCAAACTGAATTTTTGATTACATTGTTAATGACTTTATTGTTAAAAATTACATTTATTTTTCTTAATTTAAACTTGCTCAAAAAATAAAAAGAATCAAAGAAAAATAAATCATATGGGCTCTTTGCAATAGAAAGGGAGGAAACTACCAAAAAAATTTTTTTTGAATTAATGTTAAATCTGGACTTATTTTATTAAAAAAAAATAATATTTAACTTATAAAGCAAAAAAAAATTTTTTTGGTAGTTTCTTCCCTTTCTATTGCAAAGAGCCCATATTATAATTTAATTACTATACATATATAATCAAATACTATATTTTTCTTCTTATTTCTAAATTGTTTATATACTAAATTCTATAATAGGATTGTTAATCTTCTGTAGTTATTTAGATATTTAATTTTATATTAAAGTGCTAACCTCCTACACCTGATTGGATGCTAGATTCTATATTGAAATACTTACCCTTTATACCTATTTAGTTGACTTTCTAGATGTCAAAATGTAATAAAAAAATATTGTGTCCAGTGTTGCAGTAATTTGATATAAATTTGTGTTTAAATTCAGTCAGCACTATAGTATAATTTCTGGCTGATCTTTAGAACAGATGATCTGAAGAATCACCATGGTAATGATCTGACAGTGTCTGAAACTCTCTTAAAACTATCATAAAACTGGTAGAGAACTAGAGTATTTTTATTAGTTCATCAGTTTTAGACCACTTTGTATATTAGCTTGAATGCTGAATTATTATATTTATAGTTCTAGTCAAAATTAAGCGAAAATATGTGCAATATCTAGTTATTATAATTATTGCATTAATTTTACAATCCAATTTGAATGTCAGTATAAATATGCCAATTTTGTATCTGAAGTTAGAGATATGATTTATACTATCATGGCTGGTCCATTTGATTGCTAAAAAGTGCAATCCAATTACCTATTTGTTGCTAGTATAAGTATGCTAATTTTACATTCCAGAGTTTGAATCATAAAAGCATTATATTGTATTTTCAGTTGTTTAGAGAATTGGTGATGCAGTTTCCATTACTATAGCTGGCCCATTTGATTACCAAAAAAAGTGCACCTATTTATTGCCGGTATATATATGCCAATTCTGAGTGTTCCAAAATTTGCATTATTAAAATGTATTCATATTACTTCTGGTAGTATGTTTTCAAACATATTAGGATGCAAAATAGGGCAGATTTTTGTTGTCACTAGCTGTTACTAGTGTTACTAGTTCTGAATACTAACTGGTGACAGAACTAGTGACATATTCATTATGTTTATTAAGATTATTAGGCTATTTTATTTCTTTCTTGATTAATATTATTAGTGTTACTAGTAAAAGTAGTAATTTTTAGGAAAAAAAATCAAATTTTTTTTATGATACCCTATGGATATATATTTGATATATATAGTATAAAAAAATAAAAAAATTATGAAACTCAGATTTTTTTAGTAACACTAGTGACACCCATCAAGTAAGGTTTCTTTTAACCTAAAATTCTTAAAGAGCCTATCCTCTATGTTACTAGCTTCTGTCACTAGCTTTTTTTTTTTAATGACACTAGTGGTAAGTTATATTATTTTTGTTTACCTCTAAATTACCTATCAATATCTACGTTGAAGCTAACTTAGCCTATTTTTTTGATGATAATATTCTCTCAATCTATGATTTTTTACATACGTATCATAATAGTCATATCTGAATCTTGTCAGTTCACCACATTCTTTACAAGAAACTTGCCTAGAATTCTAATGAACTTTACATCCCTTTAGATCATAGTATCTTCAATTGCATACTTCTCCAGTTCTAAGGATATATAGATAATAATAAAAATTTCAGGGTATCACCTTTTTTTCACCTCCTATTTGTATATATCAATTAATAATGTTAGAGAATTATTTTTATTTTAAACTTTTTTCTTGAGAATAATATACTTTGAGTTTTAGTATAATTATAAATTATCTTAAATTGTTTAAGAAAAAATGACACAATCTGAGCTTTCAGAGTTTTTTAACGCCTTACCCTTTTTTACCTAGAAGCTAAAAAAGATAAAATAAAAGCACAAATAATTCACTTTTCTGGTAAAAATTACTTGAACAGCATTCTAATTTATGATGATATAGTAGCAGAAAATAATGAGAGATTATCTATAATTTTTAATAATGCTTTAGCTGAACAAGAAGAGATTCCTTTCATGACTGTTGATTTTGAGGGTTTTTTAGAAAAGATAGGTGAAAAACCATTATGTTTTGTATTTTATGGCTCTCTTATTAATGATCAAAAAGCAGTAGTTACTTTTATAAGAATCCAGATATTCTTTGATATTTGCATATTTGAGAAGGAATTTGTAGATGACTTTAAGATAAAAATAGACAAAATTCTTTGCAATACTATAAATGCTTATAAAATAGAGATTAATAAGATATTCTTTTTCTGTGACTATTATATAGAAAAAAAATATATTTATGAGTTTTTATGCATGGTATTGAATATAGAAAGAAAGCCCTCTAAGCCATCTAAGATAAAGATTTTAAAACTGCATCAGATGATATATCCTCATTTTACTATAAAATAGCCAGAGAGAATGAAATTGCAATTTCTGGTTGGTCTGTAATAAGCAAGTATTATTGCAGAAAACATTCTCAATATACATATGATTTTCACATTTCTGTAAATCATTTTTGAGTAGTAGAAGACCTGAAGATGATAAGTAACCATTTTCCAATTTTAGTACTTATAAGAGATTGTACACTAATTCTCACATAAAATATAGAAACATAATTATGAGAGCTGAGAGAATTTGCTGAAATATATAATAAAGAAGACAATATATTTATGATTTGCATGACTTTGCATTAGAAAGACAACCCAAAATTACTAAAACAAATCTACCTCATCAATATTAAAATAGTGTCAAATCTACGATAGATAATAGTTGTATATGAAAATTAGTTAAATTTACTAAAAGCATTTGCATTATGCTGAAAAGCCTTTCAACCTGATATTTAGCTCAGTTTCAATGATTCTGATTATAATTGGCTATTCATTGTAAAAAAAGCTTCTAGACTTAATCTTCTCAAATAGATGTGAAAGCAGATGATAGAAGACTTTAAATTATTTAAAAAAAATCAAAAATGAAATTATTATAGAAAGATAAGAATAAACTCTAAAAATACTTTTCAGAGTAAAAAAGGTGTTATTAATAATAAGAAAGAAGACTATAAAATACAGCTGATTCTGATTAAAATTTGCCTAAAAGAAAATTTCATTTCTACTTTTCTTAAAATACCAGGCTGTATGCCAATTGACATACACATATATTTTAAGAAATTCTATCCTCATGCAGAAGTAGATAAGAAAAGCTTGCTTGCATTTTACTTAAAGAAATGTAGATTTAAAAATAAGGCTGATATATCATATAACAGAATATGAAAGATCTACTCTAAAGTGAAAGTGGATGCCTTTCAAAGAGAATCGCATTCTTTTACAGGTATGCATGAAGTGGCATATTATTTATTGTATTATAGATGCATTGTGTTATCAGGAGTTTATAGTTAAGAAAATATAATTAATAACTATAGGGAGGTTGCTTTTATAGCATACGTATCTTTATTTGACTCATACTACTGTGCAAATAGAATGAGAGTATGAAACTTTCTAGGTGTTTATACTTTTAAACATGATATGTTATTAGATTTTGCTTCATTATATCCCAGTCTCATGATAACTTTCAATTTCTCTCTAGATAAAATAATATTAATGCATGAAGAGACTATCACAATACAATAAAATGAAAATAACTTGCATAAAATTAAGTTTCATTTAATAACCACATTGTTTAGACTTAAACTGTAAGACATGATAATTAATTTGAAAAGAAGGATTTATATTCTGTCATGCTAGAGGATTTATTCAATAAAAAAGTAGAGCTTAAAGCATAGCTTACCTTATTAGAAAAGGAAAAGGAGTGCCTTGAGAAGATAATAAGTTCAGCTAAAAAAAGAGGTAAAAAAGTTCTGAAAAGTTTAATCTCAGAATACTCAACTGTATACTTTGATTATGATTATTTTAATTTAAAGTAGAGAGCTTTGAAGGTATATATTAACACTTTTTATGAAAAAGCAGGTAACTCAATATCTTCAATCTATCTTCTCAAATTAGCTGAGGGAACTACTTCAGCTGAAAAATACAATCTTAATCTTGTCACGAAATTTATATCTGAAAAAGATTTTGAAATAAAATATAGGGATACCGATTCTTTGTATCTTACATGTCCAGATAAGTATTATGAAAAATGTGATAGAGTTTTTAATGAAGAAAAGTTTTTTGAGAAGGAATACTGGGCTGAAATGATTAATATTACTATGGATGTGATGAAAAAGTTACATGATTAAATAAATGCTTATCTTAGGATAAAAAATAGCACATCTTATTTTAAAATGGCATATGAAAAGGTATTATTTCCTGTCTAC